CAAAAACATGGTGTTCTAGAAGTTCAGTTGTATGAAATCATTACTCTAGCCTAAATAGTAAATAAAATAGTAAATAAAATGGCATTTTTCAGTGGCAGGTAAATGACATTTACATAGTAAATAAATGGCACTCAAAAAAATCACCTAAGTAGTAAACGAATGGCAGACGTTTAAAATAGCGTTCAAGATAAAACTCGGGCGGCAAGGCGGCAAAATTTAAACCGAAACACGAATCATATGGAATGTCCGTCAAAGCAAATTTGATCGTCAAAGCTAATTTGATCGCCAAAACTGCCGGAAACCAAAACCGGCTACCGACCAGTTCCGATAACGAGGCAGATCAGTTTGAGGGTTTTACACCAAATTTTTTTTTATCAGTAAGCCTTTGGGCTTTTGCGGTTAAACCGAACTCTACTACAAAGTAAAGTTGATCTCATGTGCAAACTTGTTTTTTATTTATTATTTAAAGGAAAAAAATTTATATAAGGTTGCAATAATTAAAGATGTACCTCAAAAAACTATTTGATATTGAAAACCCTTGATTATCTCAACATTAAGATGTATTAATAATTTAATACAAAAGAAAAGGATTTTCGACAGTCGATTTTCAAGATTTACGTATGCATATAGATCTACTTGATAATCATTTTTGAAGATTTAGCATTTTTAAATTAAAGAAAAATAAATACATTTTCAAATAATCCTATGAACTTTTTACACCAAAATTACATGTTAGGAAGTACGCTGGTTTAAAGTTGCAACCTTATAAAAACCACTCATACTTAAAATTTGTTTTTTAAATATATAGATCTCATGGGTTTTTAGGGTGTTTTAACGTTGAAAAAATAACTTGTGAATTTTCGAGGTCCGCCTTCGTTTGATTGTTTAAGATCTCAGCCTTAAATTTTTTTATTTTTTTCTTTATTTAAATGGCTTATGTATACAACGGATCAGGAAGACCAAAACTATCCATAAGATTGATGTATAAACCATAAATAGGGTACTTGGTTTTCTTGAGATGGGGTTAAAGGATTGAAAACACGTACCCAAAAAAAATAGAGAAATAAACGAGAGAAAAATAGAAAAATAAAAGAGAGAAAAAGGAGGCCTGATACTGCTTATTCCCATTATTCGTTTCATGAAAAATCTTCTCTTTAATTTCAATGAAAGGATAAATAATAATTTAAATTACAGCCTCAGAAATTGCCAATTACTTAACCAGAGGTTTAGAGTTCAAACTGAATTATAAAATTTATCAAGACAAATTACTTAAAACCCAACTGAAAGTTGTCAAACCAGCGATTTCAAAATCATGGATCCCTCTCTGATCCCGATACCAAGATCCCAATCAGAATCAGGATCGTCCCCATCCCGAAACCCCAATCACTGGTTCAAAAGTGATGAAGAAATGCGGTTGAAAATTTAAACGAATTTGCAAATTTGTAAAGAAAAGGAATTGTAGGAGCATCAGGAAGAATAATGCCTGTAAATGTAATGGGACAATACTCAGAACCTCAACTCCGTTATCAATCTAGGCAACGTAAAGCACTGTATGCACTATCAAGAAGCACATAAGAGACTCTAATTTGTTGCCTACTGCAAAAAATAAACTATCTAATATTTTTGCAACAGAAATATGATTTAAAAAGTTTAAACAAAATTTTTAAATCACGAATATGATTTAAAGAGTGTATTTAAATTTTTTGAATAAAACTATGATTTAAAACATAAATTAATGACCAGATAAAAACAAAAGAATTGGATTAAATGGAAGAAATAGAAAAGACAGGCTCAGCAGATAAAAGGCATAGTACATCAATGAATTGCTTCAGAGTTTGATGGTATATTCTGATCATCTTTGCCTGTAAGTTTTTGAAAGCCAAATATAATATAACATTTCTTAAAAGACAATAAATACTGAATGTATAAACTAAGTAGAAACTTAAAAACAGCAGGAGTTTTCTTTTCATCTTTTATCTTAAAAATGGCCTCAGAAATATATATAGATACAATCGTCAAAGATGTAAGCATCTCCGATGGTACGGACAATTTCAGCATCAATGGCCATTGAAACAGTTATTGCCATATTGCCATATGAAAACCAGAAACAGTTATTGCCATATTGCCATATGAAAACCAGAGAACTAGGGTTAAAGAGAAAGAGATGACTCTATTGCCATATGAAAACTCGAGAAAAATAACATCATGCAGGTTTTTAAAGAGCGAACAAGGGCCAAGCAAGAACCTAGGGTTAGAGAGAAAGAGATGATTCATGAAAAACCTGAATGGTAAAGAGCACCGAATGACTCATGAAAGACCTGAATGGCAGAGGTTGCACACAGATCAAACCCTAAAGCTAAACAGATTTTAAACAGAGAAAAAACCCAAAAAACTAGAGATAGAGAGAGAGCCCTAGGATAATGAGGAGAATGGCAAGGATGGACGATATTTATACGAAACCAGAGAGAGTTTGCCGTCTTAAGGAATGGGAACCCTAGCAGTTTTAAAAGGGAAATGACAATTGCAATCCTCATCTATTTCAGAAAGACAAGAACACCCGGCTGTGGAATTGGACGCCACCATTTACCATTGATGCAGTAAGAATACAACTACCCCTATAGTAAATGTAAAATCGGGAGGCTCCAAGTACATCACATTTCCCCCAAATTTGATAAATTTTTTATTAGATTTAGAATGGGGTTATTAGTATGATACCCCCACCTCCACATTTCACATTTGACGGCCAAAGATACTGTAATTTTTTACATGAAAAAGATAAAAGACAAGTGTTCGTTAGAATTGCTGCCCTATCAAAATAAGTAAAGCTTTATGATTGTCTTACAAAACCTTTAAAGCGGTTATCTTGGATTGAACATTATGATTATGAAAAAAAAAAAAATCAAACTCTAAAAATATGGTTTTCACAACAAATTAGCTAGACCATCCCTTTCGCCCTATAAATAAATATTCAAAGACTTGCAAGATTTGTACTATTTATTGAATTTTTAAATTTATTTTTGACATTGAAAATTGTTTTTAAAGCTATCATATAGATTTACGTTGCCAAAACTGCTTTTTGAACAAGGATTTGAGATCAAGCTTTATTTTATTTTCATAAAGCCTATGCCTTAAGAAACCTCATCATATTATCCTTGCATATTTTTTTCATAACTATCATATAGACTTTCAAAGCCTATGCCTTAAGAAACCGCATCATATTATCCTTGCATATTTTTTTCATAACTATCATATAGATTTTCGTTGTTGAAAGCGCTTTTTAAATGAAGATTTGAGGTGAGGTTTTATTTTGTTTTCATAAAGCCTAGGCCTTAAAAAAAACCTCATCGTACAATTGTTACATGTAGACAAACTATGTGTTACATGTCATCTTAACTGCCCATTCTTAACAACCTAATGTGCACGTTAAAAAATTGTACAACTTTCTACGCTGCAAATTTACCCAAAAAAAAAAAAGAAAAAAAACAAATTGTATACTATGAGGCCACATATATTTTATAAAAAGAGGTCACTATATTTTTTATCATTTAATGTAAAATTCAATATATTGAAGTGTGTCACAACATTCGAAAAAATTTATTTTTGACTTTTTGCACAATTAATAATACATTTTCATCTACCCAATTTTGCATCTACCGGTCTATAATACTTGTGACCTTTTTATACTAAAACAAAATGATCTCATTGTATACATTTTTCTAAATATTCAAAAAATGATGAGGTTCATATCAGGTGTCCACCTTATATTATTGCAATTGAGGTAAGATTATGGCTCAAAACTATGCTGAAAGATATTGTTCAAGAAAAACTTGCGATAATATGAAAATCCATTGTCAACCCTCAATATGAAAATTAAAGTTACAAAAATGATGCATATCAAACAAATCTATAACAATTAAATTTTTTAAAAATAGACGGTTGAGATAATGCATTACAAGATGCATTATTTTAGACAGTTGAAGGATTTTAGCATCTGCACAGCCTTTCCTTATAGGTGTTTGAGGTCACCTTATAGGTGTTTGAGGTCACCTTATTCTATGCACCTCAAAAATCCTTCGGAAAAGATAGTTTTAATGTTGAAAAACCCTTTGATTGATCATCTCGACATCGAGATGTATGACCATGAAAAATAAAAAGATTTTAAGTCTCATAAATGGTGCATTTCACAACATATTATCTGCACCGTCTATTTTCAAGAGTTTCATATGTTTAAAGATCTACTTGATTTTAACCATTTTTTGAAATTTTAAATTTTAAATTAGATATAAAAATAGATTTTGGGATAATCCTAAGAACATTTTACATTAAAATTATATATCATGATAAAATTTGAAGGTGCACCTTACCTCTATAGCTACGGATGCATCCATACGCCAACTGCACCTTTCTATTATATAAAGTTAACACCCTATATAAACTTTTGGGATTGGATACAATGAGACATTTACCTATTGTATAAGGAGATCACAATTACTTTTGACCATTTGATGTGAAATTTGATAGCTTGACGTGTCACAAAGTTGAAAAAAATTTCTTTTGACTTTTAGCTTCAGCAATTAAATAAATAGAGCCACCCAATTTAACATCTAATAATCAAGATTATTTGTGACTACTTTGTACAAAGGTTAAGTGGTCTCATTGTATACTTTTTCTTAACATTTTCCTTAAAAAAAGAAAAAATTGTTTCATACGGACTGGACCGCATTTCTATAATATGCAGTCCAAAGATATAAAGCATTCATCTTAAAGATGGATGCAAATATGAGGTTCATCTAAAAACAATGGTAACTAACGATCCAAATATTTTCTTAATATAATTATTATTTCTAGTTTTCAATTTAATTAGTTATTTTTCGTATTCATGATCGCCCTGTTAAAGATTATATATTCTCTACAAAATAGGATCAAATTATATTTAAAAAATATATTTATTGCCAAGCCCGCATGTCTACAATATGCGGGCTGGCCGCATAGAAACCACGTCCAAAAAAAAGACCTCTCTTTTTCTCTATCTCTATAGTACAAGACAATTCGAAAAACCAAAAAAAATATTTCGTGAAACACAAATCGGCACTACCTTTGTACATCAGGATTGTCTAGTAGTACCTTCATGATGAGTCCTTACTTGAAGGTCAGACATATCAGATGATATTCAGCGCATGGATAAGGATTCTGTGATACAAAAAACTCATCCTTTTTTTCTACAACTAAGTTCTGATCATGTACCAGTTGAATCGCTTCTTCATATTAGGAGAGAAATCTTTTGAAGGTCAAGTAGAAACCTCATTTGAATTTGTCAAGGCTGACTGTTGGGTAGCTTGCTGAGGATAGAGTGCTCGGGCTTATGATCGCACTCGAAATCAAGGTGGACAAATGCGCGCTCGACTTCGGGGAGTTCCTCGATCTTTATCTGGAGGGACTCTCCTATTGCATGCGCCTCTTTCAGAGGCAAATCCTCAGGCAACTCAATGTCAACCTGTTCGATTGCACATGTACAAAAACCAGTCATTCTCAAAATAGCTTCCAAAAGGTCTCATGCATAAGTTGACTTTTGCTTCTGGTGTAAACTCATCTTCCCCTTGTATTACTCTCTCTCTCTCTCTCTCTCCAAAACAACATAAATGCTCCTCTCTTTCTTGCAAGAAGAAAATTGGCACAGGGCAGAAAGTTTCCATATGTTCCCTTTTGAAACCCCATGTCCTAACAAGAAATGCCATACTTTTATAATGTCTTAGTAGTACCTGTACCTACGCGTTGCAAACCATTTTAGAGGAGCGTGGGGATGGGGATTATTTTTATATTTATCAGGGGCAGAAACAAAATAATCATATCATCGTTGACATTTAGCTATCAAAAGCCTAGAACACCTTTGAATTCTAGGCATTTAACTAATAATTTGCAAAGATATTTTTACCATTAATCTGAGCAAATGACAGACAATCCCCTTACAAAAGAAACTTTTGCAAGCTATGTTTCAAGGATATGGATGAGTGTCGATGTCTGACATTGACACACGTGTCAAAAAGGTCAATCCCAAAATTCGCCTTTCAAATACATGTCGCATACCATTTAAAGAGAGTGGGAGACAGAACTTCAAGTGAAATTATGGATTTCTACAGTAAAATTTTCAAGAAAAAATGTTAAAAAGTGTCCGAGAGATGAAATATCTCATCCAAGTATTTTGGATGCCAAGGTTTTAGTTACATAGTTTGCAATGGCTTGGTGAGTATAGCTTGGTGAGTATAGCACTTGTCAAGGTGTATAAGCTCAAACATGAGAAATGCAATTTACCAACCTCAACAAAGTAGAGAACACCAAAAGTATATGCTCGCACTGTATCCACTCGCTTTATTTGAGAATGATGCCTTATGACCAGATATGTCAGCTTTTGGAGCATTTCAGGAGGGGCTGATTGACCCACCAAGGAAGCTGCAAGAGTAAACCACTTGTGTAAGAGAAAAATCTGTTAAAAGTAAGCAATGGATTCATATAATTCATAACAAATAAGTTCTGAGAAATTAAAACATAGTTCAAGATTTTTTAACATTTCAACAAAATTTTGCAAATATGGTTGCTATAAAAAAAAAAACAAATTTGCAAATATGGCAAATAACGAAAACTGTGAGAAGCAACAAATCACAGCCAAGCTTGTCGTCTATAAAAGAAATAGTTCAAGTAACAAAACCCACAACCAAGGTTCCAAACAAGGATGTGTTGACAAGGATTAAATGTATCACTTCCAAGAGTAGAATATTTCTCTTCTTATGTAACTCTATTTTGTTGTGTTTCTACGAAACTTTACAAAATATATGTATCTTTTATACTTGTAATTGTAAATATTGTCTTGTTTATCTATTTTACAAGTAGGATGGAAGCCAAACTTGCAATACCCATATGACAAAAGAACAAAACGAATCTTTACTAGGTATTTACTTAATATAGCGAGCATTATATTGGACAAAACAATATATACATAATTAGTGAGGCGGCATCCTCAGCTGAGAAAGTGTGGTGCCCCCTCATTTCTTCACATTTTCGATGATTGAGGACCAAAATGTCAGGAAATCCATCCTCTTGACCCCCAAGATCAAGATTCTGAAAAACAAGGATTTGAAGCTTTAAAATGCGCCATCTTGAATGTTATATCAGCATGTAATCTGGATTGTCCATTTCATTGTACCCTAGATCACTCAGATTTACATTATTTTAGAGCTCCAAATCCATTTCTCTAGGGCAGAAATGGAGATGCAGGAGTTTAGAATGATTTTGGTAAACAAGCAAGAAATATATAGATTTTGAAGTGGGGGCACATGGTCTTTAAGGCAGGGCTTTCACGGTAACACTACCCTATACACAATTGAAACATTTACTCATACTAAATAAAGAATCAGGTGTGGAAAAACAGGCGTGGTTTCCACTTTATTTCACAAGGAGATATGGGATGAGACTTGGTTTATTTGTAGAAATTATGTTTATTAGCCTGGAAACCCCAAATTTTTGAAGGATAATAGGAAAAGTACTTGGTGGTCACGCCTCAAATGCAGATCCATTCGCTTCCCCACCAAGATCATTGATCTGTAAAAATATAAAAGGAACTTGGAGCCATAAAAATACTCCATATTGATTGGTGTCGCAAGATCTATTCTTGACCATCCTTTCCAGATCAAGCAGAATATCCTTTTTAGGATCTTCAAACCACTTTTCTTGGGTGAAAATGGATTTGGAGGTCAATTACAGTGGTTTTGGGAATTCAATCCCAAAAAAATTGGTTAGTGCCCTGGATAAAGCCCATGGTGTCACCATAATAACCACACCCAGTAGAGAGAATGGAATAAGATTTCAAAACATGAAGCACTGGTCAACTCTCTCTTTAGAATTGTAGCTTAATTGGTTCCACCAAAAGAGAATAGGATTCAACACTCACACTTAGTCATAACATAGAGTTAGAAAACCAACCTGCATTTTCCAAAACAGTTCCTGACCAATTGGTTATAGTATAAACAGCAAGAACAATGGCGCCTGCTGGGTCGATCCACCAGTAAAATCTATCACCAAGAACAGCTGCAGCTAGACCCACGATGTTGGTTACAACATCGAAATAATGGTCCTGGATGGTGCAACCAAGGAAAAGAAAAATCAGTTACTTATTTAAGAAAGAGAAAAGTATCAATAAATGAAAGAGAGAAGAAAATAATAGAAACAGAAAAGAGCTTATGGGAATCACGAAGATAACATAGTTCAAGTAAAAATGAGAAACTGCCCTATCATATTATGGGTGAGGATGAAATGTCATTTTTGAAACCCATTCTCTCCCTAACTGGTGCAAGGCCTCTTGCAAGAAGAGGAAAGGAAAGGGGGGGGGAGGAGAGAGAGAGAGAATCAACAACCGAAAAATCTCCACAAATGCAATGAGAGAGGGTGAGGTAGAAGGGAAGTTTTAGAACCAGTATGTTCTATAAAAAAATTCCTTTTTCAGAAAAATTCTAATAAAGATGTTGCAAAACTTTTATAAGTTTAATGAGAAACAATGTTGTTCTGGATTTCTTTTTTCAAAATCAGCAGTCACTCGTGCCCACAAGGAAAAAGAAGTTTCTGAAACATACAGTCAGTTTCACAGATTGGGATCAGTGAGAAAATGACTGAGAATTCCAGAGAATAAATAAAACAAAGCAAGTAATAAGAGTTCAATAACTATTAATAGGGGAAAACAACCTTTGCATAAGCTCGAACAATCTTGTTTCCTGAGCTCCTGCAATAAATCCACAGGCCCAATTTTACAAAAGTAGCAGTCAACATAATGGTGTATAGCCACACCAATTGTTCTGAGCTCATTTTAGCCTTGACTTCATCTTGTATCAACTGTTCCAGTGCCTGGACAAATACTTGAAAGCCTGAAATTGAGAAATAAATACCATGTTATTTGCAGTTTCCAACTTATTAAGCAATTCTATAAAGAAATTTATCAAAACACCACTTTCAACAATTTGACAGTTCACCCCTTTTTAAACCATTTCAACTCATGGTCCGGTGTATTTTGATGGTATTTTGAAACTAAACCAAAAGATATGGCTAAAATGTTAAATAGCTAATCTCTTAACATGTATTTTGATAAGTTCCCCAAGAAAATACAAATGAATTAGACAATTATTATGTAAATTCCTATTTCTCAAGCTATATCATGAGTTCCATTCATCTATTCAGTCATGATGCACTCATTTTATAGTAGATAACATATACTTTTATTTAATATCATTTGTTTATCAATAAATATTAACCAAATTTATCACAAGAGACGAGATCCATGAAATAACTACACATACCTAGAGTGGCCATAACAGCAGCAAAAATGATAATACCAACTGGCTGTACCCGAAGCTTTCCAATGGGATATTTGTAAATGTTTATGCTTTTCATTGACAGATGTGTAAACCAGAGGATACCACCTGCCATGAGATCCAACAAAGAATCCAATGTGGATGCAGCTATTGCCAAGGATCCACTCCTTATTGTCGCGTATACCTGAAGTAGTCCATTACAAAGCAGTCACAAAGGGGAATCCATGAATACCACTTAGTGCCTACAATTTTGAGATCATTAAGTAAAACTTTGAGAAATGAAACCTTCTTGTGAAAATTTACAGTTCCAGATTACATTATCGAAAAAGCCACCAAGCTTCAGAACATATCCCAAAATAAGTAATAAAAAGGGTATTGAATTGGATCACTTTTAAATTCCAGAATTCAAAAAATGCATCTATTAAGACACTGCCTAGCAAGAAGGGAAAATGGAACCACTCTCAAAAAAAAGAAAAAAAAGGAGAAAGGAAAAGAGGCTCAAATTTAATCAGCACCCCTAGCATTAGAAAACTAGATCCCTTCACTATGTAAGATTTTTCAATAAGCTGACGCTCAATACGAACAGAAATCGAGCATTTCCAACTAACATTTAATACTGAAGATGCCACATGGGAAGCATCACAATGAACATCAGACACAACTTAAACTTTACATGCCCCAAAATTGACAATATTGGCTTCTATAATTTATGAACGCATTCCCATGTCCATTATAAGTTAAATAAACGCATAGGAGTTGCACAAAGGATCCTTGGAATCGCATTATCCATGGCTAGTTTGCATCAGCTTCTTATTATGGTCTAGCTACAAAAAGGGAAAGCATAAATGAGATCTTGGTTCTCTGAAACCCTCAGATTGAACAAATCTTCACATTCTGGTACGAAAAAGTATAATATATCTAGACATTCTATAACCACAAATGTGTGTACCGGGACCACTAGATGACTAGACACATGCAGGTATTTGAGGGAGAATCTCTGTTTCTATTTTTCAACTGAACTAAAGGAGTGTAGGAACATTTGAAACTTTTCAACATTCAGCAATTCTCTCAAATTTCACAGGAAAAACTGGAGGACAACCTGGTGGTGATTAGGTTAAAGAATCTTGAATTTGTAAAAGAGCAACTTGTACGTGACAAAATGTTTAACTGAACTAAAGGAGTGTAGGAATATACGGAAGTTTTCGACATTAAGCAATTCCCTCAAAGTGCACAGAAAAAATTGGAATGAAATCTGGTGGTATTAGGTTAAAGATTATTGAATTTGCACACTTATACAGCAAATTGTATGAGACAAGCATAAGAACTATGCCTTGTAAAGGTCTAAGGAAAAGTGCGCAAGGCAAGGTACTTGAAAATTTCCAACAAAATGAGATGAATCCTTCTTTCCCACAGCTCATGAATATAAAAAAAACTCATTTTTTTCAAAATCCAAAAGAAATAAAAAAAGGCATTTTGGCAGTATCTCAATTTCATTTGGTGCGCAAGGAAAGGAAGACAGAGTCTCATTATTTTCCTGTCTGGTAGAAAGCATCCTTTTATGTACATGTTTTAGTTGAATTTGCACTATGGAAGTTGCAAGACATTGCCTCTCTAGTAAAATAATCCCAAAATTTCAAGGAGAAATCAAAACATGAAAAGTAGATTCAGATGTCGTAGCTACAGCAGGAGGTAATAACAAGAGGATGGTCCTTCTTCTCAAATTAGCTATGAAAGAGGATGAAAAGAAGAGAGGGTGAGGACAACTACTATTGGCTTCTCTCCTTAGCCGTTGAGAACAGTTACATCCTGAGACATCAATTTGATGGCCTAAAGACCAACACCTTTGGTGAGAATGTGCATTTGATGAGCCCAAGCTTGACTAGACCACTATTGCATTAAGGAGGAACATCCCCTGCGCTCAAAGGGCATTCTATTAACTTTATTTCAGGACTTTTTGGAGGTTCACAAGCAAGAAAATATGGTTATGTACTAGGAATTCCATAAGCAAATAGTGATCAATCCAAGGATTAATACTAACTTAGTGGCCTTAGTTCCTACCATTAGCCTTCTCAATGCTGTATACCCAATCCTGGAGAAGGTCCTCTCCAACAGGCTTTGTGAAGTGTTGGGAATCATTATTTCCTTGCTGAAAGGGATTTTGTATAAAGCAAATAAGGGATGGATTGCCAGCTGGCCACAATCTTGTTTGTAAATTACACATGGAGAAGGCCTAAGATGATAACATTACTAAGGTCTCCCTTGATATCTCCTTGGGTGCGAGAAATTTGGTGTTAAATGACAAAGATGATTAATATAGCTTGCAAATTGGCCCTCGTGGTTTCTTTAGTTGCTTGATAAATCCTTTCTAGTGCTTTACCATATCGATTTTGGGAAACATCATGCAGTATCATACATGACATCTTATAACTTTATCAAGCAAAAGGAGACACACTCATATACAAAAGCAAAAGCATATTATTTAAATAAAATATAGATCATTGAATTCCCACTATCTGTTTCTATCATGTACATAATAGGACAAAAAAATTAATAGATTTGTTTTACCTTAAAAGCTAGCAAAAGTATATTTGCAATGTTGGATATCTTCATTGCATATTCATGTTGGGCTTGCTCTTCAAGTTCTTCATCCTCATCAATACTATGGGACAGATGCAATGAGTCCACTTCCTCAAATGATCTTAGAGTAGCAAACTGCTTCTCATAGTACTCTTTCTCCCCTGGTGCAGTAAAATCATATCAAAATGTTAAAGAAAAGAAAACAAATGCCGCTAAGAATACAATTTCTCTGATATGTGTGTTTGTGCGCACGTGCAAGCATGCATTTGTGCGTGTGAAATTTTATTATGTCCCCTGGAGGATATTTATTAAGGAAGGGCTGTTTTTACCTCTTTCATGATAAGAGCGCAGAATAAAGTGCAAATTGGCGATGCTTAATGTGTGTCAAATTCACAGTTTGTCTTCTATAAGAAAGATGAGAAATGCATCCCTAGCTTTAGTCCCACTGCTCTGCTTTCCAATTATCTTTTTGTGTATTTGAAAATGAAGAAGCTTGCTAAATTTCAATCCTATCAATCCCTCTTTGCAATAAATAGTTGAAGGCTATGAAACTTTGGCCTTTGCCACAACATAGCACCGCTCAATACTTCAATATTAGTTTTGTTTAACAATCAGGAAAAATATAAATCAGGAGAACACAAATAAGTTGAGACGTATAATCTAACCCAAGCCTAACAGATGCCAGTTATTGCCATAGTTACATACATTTTTAGGTTGCAGGACAATTTTCATAGAATAATTGAACAATTTGGAAAGAATTTCCTTCACATAAGAGAAAGGAAGAATAGACACATCGGCGTCAAAGACAGAGAGAGTCCAATACCTCAAAACTATCACTAAATTATAACAAAAGCAGTACAGGATGAACAAAAGAAGTCAGGCACATTTGACACAAGAATTCAAAGTAATAGGCCTTAATTCCATGAAATGCGCTCCTCCACGTTGAAACACAGAATCCCAACTCACCTTCCGACAGCCCTTTGATTTTGGACACATCAATGTGGAATGGTTTCTCTGGATCCAACCCACTCTTCGCCTTTTCAGGAAGCTTGGATATAAAATCACCCCTTAATGTATTCAAAGAAATCCTATGATAAAGCCTTGGTTTTCTCGCACTCCCTCCAAGCAATGGCTTCTTAGCTCCCTCACCACCTTCCATATTCCCCACCCACTAAAGAAATCAACTGAACCAGCTAAACCTCTCCAACAGGAAGCTTAGAATTACAGGTTTAAAAAGAACCCAACATCAAAAATACTGGTTTGGGTTGCCCAATAATTCGTTTTCTGGTTTCTCTTATAGAACGAGTGGCCTAGAGGGCAAGTAAGATACAGGTGGCCAATCGTTCATGTGTTCTCATTAAATTCGTGGCTCCAAATAAAGAGAACTTGGAGTTTAAACCTTTCTAGAAGAGATTTCTCTGCAAGTCTCCTTTGACAAATCAGTTGGCAGCAAGATCTAAAATAAAGAGTTTTGCCTCTTGGGTTTCTGAGATTCCAAAGCAACTACTATAGCTAAAGGGATTGAAGCTGAATTTTTTGGGTGGTAAAACAGGAGAGAGAACGTGGAATTCAGGAGATTTCAGCCTTCAAAAATTGAGCAAAAGCCTTGATAAGGGGCTGTCTACATTACCATGTCGAGAGAGAAGTAAATTAAAATTTGAGTTTTTGGGTTGAGAGAGAACGTGAATTTGAATAAATTTCAGCCTTAAAAAAATCCAGCAAGGTCTGATAAGGGGATCTCCATGCCGGCCAAAAGTTTCGGAATTTTGGGTATTTTTCGAAGTTTCATGAATAATTTTTACCTGATAAGACTGAAATGTCCGCCCTTTTCGGTCTACAGAAAGGAAACCTGTGATGTCAGCGGTGAGGCCGGGTAAAAAGGCGATAAAGGCAAAAGCGTCCACAAGAAACACAAAGAGACAAGAAACACGGTCGTTTCTTTAAAAAGTTTCGGTGAACTTCGGCGAAAGTGCTTATACTGGTCAAACCCACTTTTATATTTCGGATAAACGTCACGGAGATTTCGTTATTCGACACTATTGCGGCTCAATCTTTGCAAATATTTGAGCAAAAATTAAAGAAATTCAGTTCAAAACCTTGAGGGATTTTGCTAAAATCAAGCAAAAAAATAAAACATTTCCTAAAATGTAGATTTTCTGCAAAATACAGGCCATGAATCCTTAAATTTGGAGTTTTAGAGACTATTGGCGGGGAGCCGAAATTTGGTGAAATCTTTGCGAAATTTTGGATTTTTCACCCTAGAAAATATGCGGACTATAACAAGAGACCTAAATTTTAGAGCTAGCGGACACAGAACCGTTTCTGCAACTGACTGGAATATTTTGGGTTGTTCCAAAAAGAGGGGACTAAAGGACAATCAAACTTTTATGATAGGGTGCAGTTTGTAGAGAAGCGAGGCTCTAAACAATCAAAGTAGAGCCCACCTTCAAATAGTGTTAAGAAATATGATTTTAATATTAAAAATTTTTATGATAGGTTTAAAAAATATTTTCATCTTTAATTATAAATTTTAAAACTTGAAAAATAGTGTAGATCAAGCAGATCAATGAAAACTAGAAAATCTTGAAAATTGACGGTCCAAAAATACATTACAAATATGTATTATTTCTAAAGCCTGAAATCTTTTTTTTTTAATGTCTATGAGTCTTGATGTCAAGATGACCAATTTGACGACATTTGTGCATCAAAACAGCATTTTCTAGTGAAATTTTTGAGGTAGGCTCTGATTTGATTGTTTAGAGCCTAGGCTTTATATGAACCTTTTTATTTATGATAGAGAAATTATGACAAATATAAGTATATTTAGAAAAAATCCTTTAATTTTTATAAACTCTTTCTATATCCTTTTTCTTCAATTTTGACTCTTTTTTTTTATCGAAATAAATCTTCACGATAATCGTATTACCGTGAAGCACAATTACGGTACTTAAAGTACCGTAAAAACTAAAATGTTATATGGTAATTTTAAGTACCTTAAAAACTAACCCACCATGTAATACGGCATTTGTACTTAAAGTACCGTAAAAACTAAAATGTTATATGGTAATTTTAAGTACCTTAAAAACTAACCCACCTTGTAATACGGTATTTTAAGTACCGTAAAAACGTATGACGGTACTTAAAATGCTGTATAACATGGATTAGTTTTTGCAGTAATTAAATCGTCATAATTAGGTTCACGGTAATACTATCATGGAAAAAGGGTGGGGGCGAGGTGGTTTATGAAAGTTGAGGTTACAAAAATTAATGTATATTTATGATAATTTCCCTTTATGATAAGGTTACCGATATTTTGTTAGTCGAATATTTCGTAGATATTCCCTAAAGTCTGGTGAATCATAGCTAGAAAATAGGATAGTTTCAGCGAACTTTTGGGTTCAATGTGGCTTGTTTGCTCTCTTTCCTTCTAAGGGTGGCAACCCAGCCTGAGCCATGGCCTGGCTCTTGTCTTTGTGTAGCCGATCGAGGCCAGGCTCTAGTTAAGGTCGGGCCGGATCGGTTCAAGTCAAAAATAAATGAAAAAAATATAAAAAAAAAAAAAAACAAAACAGGTAAGGTCGGGCCTGGCCAATTTGGATTGACACAAGCCCTAGCCTAGCTACTATAGGTTGTGGCCCCGGCTTTACTTTTTTCATGGCGGGGCCGCCCAGCCATTACCAGCCCTATATGTTCCTTACTAGTTTCTGTTTCAGGTTAGGTTCATAAATTCCCTGACCTAAGATGATTCTCTCTCTCTTCCTTATTAGTTTCTCTTTAAGGTTACTATTCATAGATTTTCCTAACTTGAGATGATGCTCTTCATCTTTCTTCCTGATGCAGTCGAGATTAAGGTTACTATTCATAGATTTTCCTAAGTTGAGATGATGCTCTTCATATTTCTTCCTGATGCAGTTGAGATTAAGGTTACTATTCATAGATTTTCCTAACTTGAGATGATGCTCTTCATCTTTCTTTTTGATGCAGTCGAGATTATCGCACTCGATTTTTTTTTTAGAACGATTAGATCTCAACATGAATTGGCGATGAAGGTTATCAAGAGTAGGTTACTAGGTGTTTTAGGAAGGTTTTTGTTAAATAACAATTGGAAGTTAGTTACTTCATTCTAACATGTTAGAGAGAAAGAGTAGGACGTTTGTTTTTGGAGAAGTTTTAAAGAGGTTGAACGTCTCATTCTAACATGTTAGAGAGAGAGAGAGTCTTTTTGTGGGTTCTTTCTTCTATTGTTTTTGTGGTGAGTGGCGGAGGATTCGAATCCTTATATTTGTATTTTTTTTTACTGATTTTTTATTTTCAAGTGGTTTATTCCTCCAAATGACAAAGGTATTTATAATATTTAAAGTATGGGTGACACCTTCACCTCAAAATGGCAAAGGTATTTAAAATATGAGTGAGGTTTATATAAGGTGTCAACCTTATACTATTAAAGTAATACATCTTAAAATGGCAAAGGTATTTAAAATATGGGTGAGGTTTGTATAAGGTGTCAACCTTATACTATTGAAGTGCACTTCAAAATTATGCCAAAATACACTTTTGGTGCCACAAAACCTTAAGATGATATGAAAATCTATTGTTGCCCCCAATTATGAAATTTAAAGTTTTAGAAATAGTGATGATCAAGTGGATTTGTCAACACTTAAAAATCTTAAAAAAGGAGGGTCCAGATAATGTGCTAAACTATTTTTAGGACTAAAAATTCCCTTCTATTTTATTTTTTTTGCTTTTTTGTCAATCTCTAGTCGAGACGATTGATTTGAAGATTTTCCAGCACAAAAACAATCTTCTCTAGTGAGTTTTTTAAGTACACCTTGCTTGTACAGTATAAGGTTGACACCTTATATAACATTTTCCTGGAGTATTTTGTATAGGTGGAAATCCCCAACCTATTGTGAACATTGCATTCCATATAGTTCTATTATTATTGTTATACAGTGCAGGTGACCTTATGCTACACATGCAATTGGAGCTTTGGGTATATTTTATATGCATATAGTTTTTCTTTTCTTGGTTTGGTAAGCGAGCATAGCACTCAGGCCCAATTAATGATGGTGTATAAATTTGTTTAGCAGTCATCGCAACATGTGAAGAGAGAAAGAGAGAGCTGCTATGTGTCCCACAATCTATTGTTTTCTAAATATCAGAACTGGTCCTCTCTCCTTAAAGACACATAGCACTGCCACTTAATTGATAATGGTAAGAGAAGCCCATTCCCTTGAGTAAAACACTCTCTGACCCTAGAGGGCCGGCCCGGCCTTGATAGGGCTGACATGACCCGCTGTGCTAGGCTAGATATAATAAAAGTAAATACAAAATAATAGACAAAGGACAAGGCCAAACTAGGCCGGTCTTGTCATGGATGTTGCCTCGGCCTGAGCCAGCCCTAACTCTTAACGTCAGGCCTACTGCTAGGACCACATTTGGTTACCTAGGCCCTAGTTTTTTAGGATCAGACCAAGCATGGCCGCCCAAGCAATGCCAACCAGGCCATTACCAACCCATTCTCTTACCTGCTTTTAACTATACTAATATAGACCAAAACGGCAAAAAATAACAATTGCCACATGTGGAAATGTTTCTTTTATTGGAAGCATACCTATGTATCTCCACACATATAATTTAGAAAAAAAAAAAAAGAAGAAAAGTTTGTATAAATTGTCAATTTTGGACTACAAAAGGAAGGCACACCTCAAAACAGCCACTAGAAAAGGTTGTTCGAATAACCTTCCAACTGGTCATCTCCACCTAATTATATACGGAAATGAAAAAAAACAAAAAAAAAGTGCATCGTATGACAAATTATCTGGACCATCCATTTTCAAGGTTTTCTATTGTTTATAGATCTTCTCGATACACATCATTTTTTTTTATATTTGAATTCTATAATTAAGAGTGTAAATAAATTTTCAGGCCATAATAGGAGTTCCCAACGAAGAAACTGCATCTTTTGATAGGATTTGGTGAGGCGCCAATTTTTTAATGTTGACACCTTATAAAACCACACCAATTTATGTGTCTCAAAATCCAAAACTATCAATTGAAAATCAATGGAGAATATTGTCAAGCAATAAAACTTACTTCAACTGCCTGACCATTGAATAGCTGGATATCCCTAGACCCATAGAGATCTCGCGCCATAGTTTTCAAGATTGAAAGATTGAACTGATCTAGTAGTCTAAATGGTCGGACCAACTGCTACCTTAGCAAATTTGATCCAAAGTAAGGATTGAGTTTGATTGAGAACCAATCAGAAACAATGTTTAATTGATTTTGGCCGATTTGACTAGCTAGTTTTGGCCAATTCAACCAACCAAATAAAGTTACAAAATTTTTTAAAATACAACTTATATTTTTAAACTATCATATCAAATTTTCTTTCATTTTTGCTAAAAATCGATCCAGCAGCTTCAATCAATGGTTTGAACTCATTTGACTTTATCAAAACCCTCACCAGTACGAATACGATGGCCAGTCCAGCAGCACTGTCTTGCATTTCTTTGTTTGGAGTGTCTTATTTTAGTGTGAGCTTAAATAATGTACCCATACATGCACGCACAACACATGCTCATACACATACTATCACTTGTGATACTGCTTGTAGGCAGACCTTGAGAATGAAAAGCCACAAATGCATACAATTACTGGCGTGCTCATAACCATACACATACAAGCTAATAATTATACACATTCTTGCAATTTCCCCACCTAAAAATATCCTCAACCAGTTATTTGTGACTAGGTTCCTACAAATTTTTCCTTCCTCCTATTTGATCATTGTCTTCATTTGATGAAATTATCAAACTCAATTTTTATCAACCAAATCTCCCAGCCTCATTTAAAAGTAAAC